TTCCAACTATTTACACTCAACGTTTGCAACTAACATAAATTGAATCTAGTTGTGAACGTTTGACGCGATCTGCACTCGGACCATTTTGCTGCATTTTTTGCTGTTTAAGGTTTGTAATATGTATTACAAATCCGGAATAGACGTTTTAATAACAAAATGTAAATTACAGAAATATTAGTTTCTTCTTTTAAACTATGGAAAATGGCGAATCTTCTGACTATGATTCCTCAGAGGAGAAATCAAACAAAAAACCGGCCCAAACGCGAAGAAAAAACAATTTCAGAAAAAATGGTTGAATAATTACAATTGGATTAGGCAGACTCCAAAGTCTTTTGAGGCAAGATGCATAATATGCTGCGTAAATTTTTCTGTTTCAAACGCGGGAATAACGGACTTAAAGAAGCATATGCAATCTTCAAAACATTGTAAAAAGGCGTCATCACTTACTCAACAGAAATCTGTTACAACAGTTTTTAATCTGCAGCTTTCAGCAGCAAAAAGGGAGAGTGCGTTGGCAGAGGCTGCATTTGCATACCATACAGTAATGCATAGCCACAGCTACCTGTCTGCTGATTGTTCGAGCAAAATTTTTCATCTACTTTTTCCTGATTCGTTAACAGCTAAGAATTTTACTTGTGGCAGAACTAAATGCACTAAAATAGTTACACAAGTTTTGTCAAAATATTCTACTAAAACCGTCGTTGAAGACTTGCAAAAACAGCACCCTTTTTCTATTTCTACCGATGCCTCGAACAAAGGAAATATAAAAACTTTTCCTGTAATATTAAAATACTTTACTAAAAGCTCAGGCATTAATATCAAACCTTTAAGCTTCTATGAATCTGATTCCGAGAAGTCGGAAGATAAAGCCAACTCCTTAAAAAAGAATTTAAACGAAAAAAATTTGTATCTAAGCGCCGCATCGAGTTTTTGTGCCGATAATTCGAGTGTAAATTTTGGTTGCCGAAAAAGCGTTTTCGTCGAGTTGCAAAAAGAAAACCAGGACCTTATTGCTGTTGGATGTTTGTGCCATATGTTAAATAACTCATTTATAAATTCTTTAAAAATGTTGTACTTTGACTTTGAGTACATTTTAATTAAAGTTTTTAATGAATTCAGTTCATCAACCAAAAAAACGGCCGAACTCAAAGAAATGTTTGAGTTCTGTGAAATACAGTGGAGCGAAATATTACGACATGTTCCATCAAGGTGGCTTAGTATGACACCGGCAATTGAGCGGCTGTATAAAAATTTCAAAGCGATTAAATGTTACTTTTTATCTCAAGATTCATGTTCCCATATTCTTAAAAAGTTTTTTGAACATAAAACTTCTGAGTCGTATCTCGGATTATTGCATAATGTAGGCACTACATTAATGTATGCTATAAAAAAATTAGAAGAAAACTCAGAATTAGTCATTTTGGAATTTTATCAATTAATAACTAATTTAGGAAATAGATTATCTCAACAAAAAGAGCAACAGTTTTATGGTGCCATTGCTGAAAAGGTTTGCAACGAATGTGATGACTTAGATGAAGTTCGCCTGTTCAAAAAGAGAGCGGATGCAGTTTTATCCGCGGTTATTTCATACATTGAAAATCATTTTCAATTTGAAAATAATAAATTTCAGAAGTTAGCTGCCCTTAGGCTAAGTCCAGAATCTCAATTTCGTGAAATCGTTGAAATATGCAACGCATTTTCAATGAAAAATATTGACAACGATGCCTTATTTGATGAATTTATTGCACTCAAGACTTTTTTGAGTAATATTGATGAAAATCAATCGGTAGAAAGAAAGTGGATGGAATTTTTAAGCAGTGGAACAATTCCGAATTTAGAGTTCATATGTTATTTCATTTTTTCTATTCCGCATTCAAATGCGGCTACGGAACGAATTTTTAGTTTAATGGTTACGTGTTGGAGGAAAGAGAGAAACAGGCTGGCCATGGATACGTTACAAAGTGAACTAATAGTCAAAAATAACTTTAACTTGTCATGCCAGGAATTTTTAAAATTTTTAAAAAGTAAAGAAGGGGCTAAAATAATCGCTGGTACGATTAGCAATGAAAAATATTTATAAATGATCTCATGCATATATTTTTAAGTAAAGTATAAATACACTTAGTTAAAAATATCAATTTTTTTTGTTGGATTCTAAGTTTTAAACTGTATACCACACATACTTAACTATTTAAGACGTTTGTAAAGTGAAACTTTCAGTTATATTTTTTAATTTTTTATCGCTCGTGAAAAAGTATATGAAACATGTACATGTAAACTAATGCTGTCAAAGAAATTCTTGTACGTTGTATACAGTGACTCAAACAGGTGTTCAAGTATTGATTTTTTTAATATTCTATTTCTATTTATTTTTCAAATATGATATTTCTATTAAAAGCTTGGACAATATTTTTATAAAAAAAAATACTTGAAAAACACTATAAGTATTTCATAAAATTGGGTATGTTTTTAGTTTTGTAGCAAAATGAATGTGCTGTTAATAAATGCGATTTTCCACGAAATGAACTGATTTTTCAGTAAAAGGATCTGGCAACCCTAATTATGAAGTATATACAGTCAGCGTCAAAAATATGAATACCTTGACTTTTTGACGATTTTCTTCTTTTATATTTTCCATACCATTTTTTTTATTTTGTTGTAAGAATATAATTCATTCTACAGCAAAAACCAGCAGAACCGATTTTTTCTAGTTCATATAAACTCGGGAAAATTCAAGAAATACCAAAAAATTTCCAACAAAACTTTCAACTTTTCAATTCGATTTTTTAGAAAAATTTTGTAGCCCACTCAATTTTAATATAATAATGCGCAACTTCAAGTCTCTAAATATTACCGTTGATTTTTGAGATTTTTTTTTGTGAAGGGTGTTTCGCATTTTTCCCGTCGCATGAACAACATTTATTTTTATATGCAAGAAAATGCGCAACACCCTCGACAAAAAAATTCTCAAAAATCAACGGTAATTTTTATAGACCTGAAAATTGCACCTTATTATACAACAAAATATCACTATTAAGTATTATTATTTAATTGGCTACAAAACTGCATATCCAGAATTTTTCTAAGAAATGCAATTGAAAAGTTGAACATTTTTATGACAATGTTTTGGTAGTTCTTGAATTTTAACGAGTTATATATGAAATTGATAAAATTAATTCTGATTTATTTTGGAACGAATTTCCGTCATCCCTTGTCAAGTTTGGTTTGCAGACAAACCGGTTTCGGCGTTGTGCCATCTTCAGTGTCATTTTTCGTTCTGTCTGGTCCGAGATTTGTCCCTAATTTGTGTTCATTTATCTTAGGTAATGTGATTTTCGTCGATTTTCATCTTCGCTGTTTCGATATTAACATCCATTGTGTTGTCGCTGTATGGTTTTTGCCTGTAGGTAGGTAAAAGTCAGTGATTTTTGCCCTGGTGGTGCTTTTTGGTGTGTT